TCTCCACAGAGAACCGCCATCGTACTCGTTACTTTCAAACCATCCTGAAACCGATACGTCGCGACTCGCAGCCATCGCTAAGGGTGGCCGGTATAGAGACGCGGCAAAACGCGGCCGAGAGAAGGAACGGCGTCGCCGAGGGAAAGAGAAACGCCGCGTTGGGCAGAGCAGGCCTGGCGTACACCGTATAGTCCACGGCGTAGACAGAGAGCGGGGTTCCCCGCTTGCTGGAGTGAGAGGCCGAGCGGATGCCGGCGCAGCCTGTCTGTGCCTCTGCTTCGGAAAGTGACTAATGACTAGCCGGCCAGACCTACTCTTCTGCCACCCAACGAGAGAGAGAACGAGGAGCGTGCGCCGGCCGGTCGGGGAACAGATACCAGGAGAGGTGAGCCACTGTTATCTCCCGGCCCTTGACGACGGTCAACCGTGAAAAATGACTATCGCGGGGAAGAAATATTTTACAGAGTGCCGCGTCCGCTACGGCCAGCGTCGTTACGTGCTACAGAGAGGGATGAAATGATCGAAAGCTACACGTTAGCCCAAAAACTTGGCAGTTCTATCGCAGGTCCACCGCGTACAGTCCTACCGTATTGTCAAAAGTGGAGGAAATCTATAAAAAACGTTACGATTGAGTTTTGAGGCCTCGATGGATATGAGGTGTATGAAGACGAAACAAATGAGGTGGAGTCCCTGGATATAAATAAATATTTAGAAGAGTCTGTTGAATTTCTATATCCTGTTGTACTTTGTATCCTTCCTGACTCATGACCATTCCTTGACCATCGTGACGCGTCGTCCCTAATCATTACTCACCCTTTAAAAATAGATAGATTATAAGGCTCGCAAAAACCTCAGAAAATGAGAATTCAGTTTTCACTGGAACAGTGCGGACCGTTACTCTGCAAAATATAAATTCTTCAAATGTTTCTTTTTACTATGTTGAACATTTTCCTTGGCTCGAAATCCAACAAGTCTACAGTTGAAGAATGATACTGGAATACTTGGTTCCTCGTTATGTGCGTGTTAATATCTCAATGATAAATGTAGTAATAAAGTCTGATTAATAAAGTTCATATTTTCTGGGCCCCAGAAGCATTTGCACCTTTCCTGTGATTTTAAAAAGAAATATTGCGAGAGAGAGAGAGAGAGAGAGAGAGAGAGAGAGAGAGAGAGAGAGAGA